TTGCTCACAGCAGCACACACTATTTCTGGCACAGAGCAAGGCTAGGAAGGAGAGATGTGGACAGGGTTATACAGCACCCCTGTCCTGCAGCAGCCTCAGCCCAATGTACTTCAGCTGGTGAGAGGAGGCAAGTGCCAGGAGGAGGCCCTAGCTGACCCCTCCAGCAGCAGTTGTCACTCCTGCCGCTCTCATTGCTGTCCTTCATGCCTGCAACCGTCCTAGGAACTGCCTGTTTGTCTCTTCAAAACCTGTCTTATGTGCTGGACGCTTCTGAGGCTTTGCGAATCCCCATGCAAGCAAAGACTGCTTGCCACAGCTTTCTCCAGATTATTATATTTGGAAATTCTGCATCTCCTGCCCTTCAGGGAACAGGGAAAGGAATAAAATATGAGACATGTTTCTTTAAACTAGGTGACATAACTACTGAAAATTACCCTTTCTTTTGTCTTCTTCTCCTCCCACTGTTCTCACTCAGATCTAGCTGTCTGTCTCCACAGATGATCCTACCCCAGAAGGCCACAGCAGTGTCTTTCCTTAGGAACTGCTGCTTGGCCCCAGCCCAGCCACACGATGTGCTGCCTGCATCACAAAGGGAGCGAGCAGCGAAGTTCCCGCTGCAGCAATGAACATGTACTGGTGCCAGTGCATGCTGTTGGTTGATGTGTCCCTGTCACCTGCACTCAGCTCTGGCACATGGAAGAACCACTGAGGAGGGACACAAGGGAGCAGTTACATGTAGCCCTGTTCCGTATTTTCTGCCTGACCATGGTCAGAGATTTCAAAATGCTGCCTGGGGCAAAATCAAGGCATTTGGGTGATGCTGAGATAGGCAGTACCCCAAAATGAACTTCATAGGGCTGTTTTGTTTTCACTGCCACTAAACCTTTCACAGTTGGTAGGGGGGGAGGAGGAGGAGAGTGCTCATGGTTACTTATAAGGTCTGTCCTTCCATGGGTCTCAGGGAAGCTCTGAGGCAAAGTCTGATGGTGAAGGGGAAAGGATCGTCTGGACAAGGCACCTTCTTTTCTCCAGCACCCAGTCCATCACAGCACATTCCTGCCCACCCGCAGCTGGTCAGAGTAAGGCTGACTGATCCTCACTAAAAGGAGGATCAAAGTCAGCCGAAGAAAGAGAGGGTTGGCCTCTGCAGCAGAAAGGGGATTTGCTTCTCTCAAGCTGGAAAGGAGAAGCTTGATTTCTCCTCCCTCGACCCAGCAGCTCCACTCCTCTGGGCCTGAATCTTGCTGCTGTCAAGACATTTCTGCACATTGTTTTGGCACTGTATTGCTTCTAACCAGTCTCAGACACTTGTGCATGTCTCCCTCCTGATATTTTTCTGTTTTACTTAACAACCAATTTGGTTTTCAAATTGATATCTCCTGGAACAGCTGGTCCCCATATTGCTAACCCTATTTACCATTCAATCAGCCCCTCTAACAAGCATCACTAAGAGACTGCTCCATAAATAAGTATCATCTAATTAAGTTCATGATGAGCAGGAGAGCTCTTATCTTCCTCGGAGGTGTTGCACCACATCAGCTGGTCAGGCACAAAGCTCCTACAAGTCTCAGCACACTTCAAAGGCGAGGTGCGCAGGAAACACCTGCTGCATTGCACCACAGCACGTCCTTGGGTGCGCAGCCTCCTCCCAGCTGGCGAGCACTCCTGGGTGCTCAGGGAAGCTTGATGCAAGAGCCAAACCACCTCTTCTGCAGTCTGCCAGCATGACTCACTACAAATCACAGCTTTACCTCTCTTATTTCAAGTAGCACAGGACCAAGCAGTCTCTCTCTGTGCTGAAGAAGACACTGATGCTGGTGTTCAAGGTGCTCAGGATGGCTACTGTTTTGCTTGAGTGCAGGCGGTGTCCTCCACCACAGCCTGTACGGGTCCTTAGATAGGGAGAAGCTGTGGCACAGAGGACCAGACCACAATGTGCCCTGACACAGCTGATAAATCAGGGCAGCTCCCCACTGCAGAGCACAGGCTGAGCCATGCTGGTGATAAGGGGCTTCTCTCTTATAATGAAAAGAGAGCAGCAGTGGGTTGGTGCTAAAGCAACATCCAATGCTTCCCAGGGTGGAAAATGGGATCAGATGCAGGAGTGGGACAGCAGAGCTGGGAGAAGGTGGCAGCACCAGAAAAGAGCTTGATGAAAAGCTGCCTAGAAATGTCTCTGATCTTACCAGCCTGCTGGTCCGAGGATGAGATGGGGTCATTGCCTTCAGGGCAGGTTGTGGGGCACACACCTCCCTGCAGCGTGGCCGTGGCTCACATACAAGAGGTAAAGCATATCAGCATAGCTTGGAGAAATATGGTCTGTTCTTTCTGCATGGGAAGCAAACAGGTGTTTTAATTAAAATCCTCTAGTCTGGCTGTAGGCAAACCAAGCACAGCAATCTCGCTCCCCTTTGCGCTGGGCACTGAGGTCACAGTATTTGGAAAGGAGATCATCCTGTCTCTCCATGGGATGAAAGAGACAAACCTCTCCCCAGGCAGGCAGCATCTGACAGATCTCAAACAGCCCTGTGTAGACACCCACACCAGTTTCTCAACTCACCTATTTGTCACCATGATGAGCTCTGCACAGCTCTTACCCAGGAGGTGACTTAGCTCACCAGTGGGCTCGTCACTGATGCTTTATGGAAAAAGCAGAGAAGTAGAGGGTTACCATAGAAAGTGTTTTCAGTAACAACCCAAACCACATGCTGTCAGAGTTCAAATGCAAAAACACAGCAGACATCTTGTGCCTATTTATGGGTAGTACTGCCCAACTGAAGGGGGCTCTAACGAAGGCAATTCAAGTTCATTAGTTCTGCTTTCTTAAGAACAGATAAGTCAGTCTTTTGCTTTTAAGAGGAATTCAATTATGTTAATTTAGTATAAAGAGGAAGCCCTTCATCTTCAGAGAGCTGCAGCAGTAAGAAATACAATGCTTTGTAAGCACCTGCTCCACCTTTGTCCTGAGTCACATGCAGCCAAGATTTTTCATTAGGTAGCAACAAGCATAATTCAGCATCAACATGGCCTTTGCTTCTCGTCACAGAGTGGAGTCAGTACATGTGAACAAAGACAGTCATTTTCACTCCATCCTTTCTATCCCCAACTCTGGTGCCATACAGGTGACACTGTGATCATGTTTCAAACACCTAAGTATGAGCGTTTGGGAACTGGACTTCAGGGCAGTGGGTGGGACCCCTCCATTAACCTCCCACTGCACAAAGTGCACGCACACCCAGCTATTGAGAGACGTGGCACTGGGCCTTGTGGCCGGGAGCGAGTCCTGCAGTGACTAGTGACTTGCTGGGATGATGCACATCAGTCAACCTGTGATGCTGCAGTGAGCAAGGCTCAAGACAGGGACAAGGGCAGGGAGGAGGGAAGAAAATGTAGCAGAGCCAGATCTTAATGCCACTTTGATTAAAGAACTGGGTTCTGAGCAAAGCTATTGCTCATCCAGGCGCTCCCTCCGACGCCCTGTAATTGCAGTCACCATCAGTGCAATGGACACGTAGTCACTACAGAGCCACATCCCAGCAGCCTGTTGTGCAGTTAAGGCAGAGCAAAAAGGGTGATCTTTCCCCTCCTGCCAAGGATTTCCAGGGAGCTCACAGGACACAGGCAGCTTCTGTGGGGAGAGCAACTCAGCAGGGAGCAGGGCCAATACTACTGGACATGGGGGAAGGCACAGCCCTGCTCCTCCTTGGGTAGGCAAACAAGACACTGGAGAGTAAGAAAAGGCACCAGTTCTGTCCTTGGCTCCAAGTGTGGTTCAAAGGATATTAAGAAAAAGAAAAAAAGTCTACTATTTAAACTGCCATAAAAATCAAAGCTGGAGCTCCAGGGCCAAAGCCTCCCTGAGTGTCTGTATTTTGCTAGTACTGTCCTCACAAATGCTGGCTGAACATTTAATTCAGCCTCTTCCCCTTGCATAGGAAGAGGAGAGTGGGCAGATTGGAGACAATTCCAGGAACATGTTGTTCTCCCCTCGTCATCCTGCCAGCAGTCACTCTGCACTGGAAAAAGCTCATGAAACAGCAGGAGAGCAGCAGATATATGGGTGCTAAATGGGGTTTAGAGGTCTTTGCAGAAGAAGCCAGTCTCCTGGAGCCTCTTAGGATCATCTTAGCATGGCTAAAAGAAACTCCACTTCTCCAGCAGGCCCACAGAATGAATCCAGGTGAGAGAAGTACCTTGAAGAGGGATTTTAGTCCCACTTCAGGCCAACATTTTGGTGCAACCTTGTTCTTTTTACCCCCACAAGTCTCATGGGACATCTCTGTCCCATCCATCTTAGAACTTCCTGCATCCACCCAAAAAAGACCAGACACCCTCCCTGAGCCTCAGAAACAATGATGTGAATGAGATATGAGGGATGAGGCAGAAAGAGTCAAGAAGTGGAAATTTTTTATTTAAATAACCTGATGGCCTAAAATAAAAGTTGAGGCAATAGAAAGTGCTGAAGAAAGAACATGGACAAGAGGTTAAAAATCCTTGTGAAGGTCCCATTAAAGTGATGCATTGCAGGTTACGGGGAACGATGAAACTGAACAAGGGGGGAGAGCTCCTGTACCTCCCATAGGACATTGACTGCAAAAGTGGCTCACCCTTATTAAAGTGCTTATTTTTCATAAGGTGGCCTGGTCCTGTCCACTGGGACTTGCAAGGCAGCGACAAACACCAGGCAGCACAATTAAAAACTTCAAGCTAAACATGAAGGGGCCACCTGCTCCTTGGAGCCATTCCCAAAATAACCCCATAAGCAACAGAGAGTAGAACACATAGAGCCTTGCCTGGACACGTGTCTAAAAATCTCCAGAAATAGCTCCCGCTTCCCCTTTGAAAAACATTGTGGTTCCCGATGCCTCACAGGAACTCTGTTTCTGCTCAGAGAAGCCACAAAATAAGTGAGCAGCCCAGAACTGATCTATGAGCACATCTGGACAAGCTGAGATCAGCCTTAAGGAGAAGACAAAAATAAAGATTTTAAACAGCATGTGTCAAATCCAGGGACCTTTATTTCTCTGGAATGGAAAGAATTTGCCAGCCTGGACAAAAAATTGCAGGCAGCGATTGTACATTCTTTCAAATATAAAAAGAGAACGTGCACACAAGAGTTTGGCTCCATAAATTTCTGTCATAAGAAACAACTTTGAATTGTACACCAAGCTTTTTACAAAGCATCAATGTTAAGATGTTTTACCGTGCTCTATCACATTCTCAGCCATTTATACAGAATACGCCATATCAAATGCTACATCAGCTTAAGACATTTTTAAAAATTAGTATTAAAAAGATACAGAGGCATCTTGGCTTTCATTTGGGTTTTTTTTTATTAAGACATGGGAGTTTTCTTTGTTTGTTTTCCTAAGGAAGTCACTAAAAAAATATAATAACTTAATTCATAAGGACAAGATTGGTTAAAAATCCAGCCTTGCTCGCTTGACAGCCTTCTGAGCTCGTACCTCTGTTGCTTCCATCAGTCTACAAGCACCGCAGGCTGCAGACATGTCTTGCGGGGTCACAGCCTGTGCTCCAGACCTGTCCATGCTCTCAGTTACCATTTTTGTTCAGAGTTTTCATCGCGGCCAGGAAATATTCCCAGCCAAACGCTAAAAAGCAATCTTCAGCCAAACAGGGGATTTCAATCTGGGCCAATTTCACATGGATTTAGCCCTTTGTCTTTTGCTTCTTTGTACATCCTTTGGAAGTCTTTAAAACGAGGGGCACAGCCTAACCTGGCCTCCCCAAAGTGCATGCGTCCCGTGAAAAGGAAGTCCCCGTCTCCTGGTTTCACCCCACACTCCAGCAGGGTCTTTATTTGTCCCCGCCAGTTCCCACTCTCCCCCGTGAGCTGGAAGACTTTGCTCTTCTGCCTGTACAGTTTGTTGACACCGACATGAATGATGGATTCCTGCTCCTCTGCCTGGTTTGTTACCTCTTGAATGGAGCCTCTGATCACTGGAAACAGAAAAAGGGTGTAAGGAAGTTACCCAAAATCCCTCTGGAAGAACCAGGTCCAAACTCAGCCCCATGCAATCAGGCAGTTGAAGGGGAACTGATTTCACTGCAGCAGCCCCAGTTTTGGTCCTTTGGTATTTTTAGAGTTAAGTTTGTATCAGTAAGCTTCAGCATGTATTTGTTTTTGTTACAGTTTGTATTTGTAACCTGTCCAGCAAAGGGCACCCACATACTAAACTGAAACACAAAAATAATTACATCAGAAAAATAGCGTCCACCATGATAAAGAGTTGTAACAACAAGATACATGCTTAACACTCCCTAACAAGGTACTTTCTGTTCTTCAGCCACTACAGATAGCCGCCAATATTAATTTCCCCTTTAAAAAGGGAAGCATGGAGAATTATTGAAACTTTTGTTCTTTTGTCAACAGTCCATTTAGGGCAGCAAGTAAAGGCTTCTCTTAGATGCACCCAGTTCTTTGAAACTCTACTTTCACTGTGGTTGCTGGGTCATTCTCTGTGCACCCCAAGGAAGTGCCAGCTGGGCACCGGGTTTTGAGGTCCTTCACACCATGTCCTCCTTCCTCTCCCATGCACACAGCTCCTTCATTTACCAATGGTGGAGGTTGCCAAGCATAAGTAAGTGTCCATCAGTGTTTATGGATGTCCCGTTCAAGTGACACCCAGGGGACAGGGGAGCGGGGAAGCAACAACTCACCAAAATCACTAGTGCAGACAGCCAAGAGGACCTCTGTGTCACTGCATGGTCGGCAGGAAGCTGCAGAGAAAGGGTCAGAATTAGCAAAGGACTAGACAATACTAAGTAAATAAATCAGTATTTAAATTAACCAAAAACAGGACACACATACACACACAACATGGGGACAAGTGGTCCAAATACCTGTCAGCCATCAATAATGCTGCAAGAAATGGAGGCCAACCCTAGCCCCATGAGATGTTTGTACTTAGGCAGGAATATGGATCTCTTTAATGCTCCTGCTGGGGTATATTCTCTAGCAAACACCCCACACACTCACTGTGCTTATGCAAAATATGTTTTGATACTGGGCGCATTTACGGCGTGCTTTGCTGTAAATTCAAAGCTCTAGCAAAGGCTTTGAAGATCATGTGCCTTTTAAACTCTGATAGCAAAGCTCCTTTCTTACAATTTCTATCAAGTTTCACTGGACTATTTCACAAGCCATTTAGTCTATCACCACATCAAAGATCCAGGAGGTTACAGAGTGGGGGAGGCAAAGAGGGGAGGAAAAGAGCCCCAGCGCATGTGTTTGAGGGTGTCAAGGCAAAGCGGAAACTCAAGCCCATATCTGTTAGAGCTCAAGCAGCACAAAGACCATTTCCTGTACTGCTGGAAACATTTGGATATCTGCACTAATCTAATCAATGCAAGAATGTGGCTCCTCTTTGTACTCAGCCAGCTATTTCTGAGGAGAAGGTACTGTGGTTGCAGTACAGATGTTTCTATAATACCCTGTTGAGTTCAGGAATTTGCGTACTCTGGGGTCTGCCCTGCTCAGCGATGCTCATTAAGTCTTTTCATGACAGCCCAAGGAGCAGAGCCCACATCGTCCTCTTGATCTCATCATGAAGCAGCACTTACACATCAGTCAGAAAAATGAAAACCCACCGAGCGTGCAGCTCTGCCTGGCTTAGCACAGGCAAAGACAACAGCAAAGCAGGGCTCACACCAGAGACCAGGCGAAGCATTGGAGCTACAGGTTAGTTCATCATGCAGCCCACAATCAAACCCTAAGCTGAAGCTACCCCCACTTCTCCCCACCCCCAAAAGTTTAATTTTTGAACCTCAACATCTGAAAACACTCAAGATACCAGATTCCCAAATAGTCACACCCTTCTTCTCACCCCTGCCTGCTTGCTGGAGAGGTTTATCCACTGCACTAAGGAGTAGATTTAAACCAGTCTAAACAACGCGTTGCTGGTGCCTACACCGCTCAGCTATTTGCCTTCCTCTGTTCGAGGCACGAGCCGTTCTTTAACGTAAGCCACGGCAAACCACTTCTTTTTTCCAAGGTCCCAGAAAGGCAGTGATCCAGAAAGAAGGATTATTGAACCAAATCCACCAGATTTGCTCCAGTCAGATGATTAATACACAGTGTAACACGCTGTTTAATAGGATTAAAGAGAATGTAAAATGCACATTTCTGGGCAGGGATATTTGAAGAAACAATTCAAGAAGGTTAAAAATCTCCAAAAGAAGGGACAAGGAATAGGCAAAATAGTTACGTTAAAGCATCTGGATCAATCAGGCATTTTATTTAGTTGAGTCTAAATGCCTCCAGGGCTTTTAGAAACAAGTCAGCCTTTACCGCTCGTCC